GCATATCCTCGTCCTCCCTCCTTCCTGCCCCTCCCCTGCCTTCCTCCGACCCCTTCGTCCTCATTCCCCCCCGTTATTTGTTACCCTTCGTTTCCAAGGGCTTCACCAACCACACGTGGCAGGGAATGAATATACCCCCAAAAAGGGGAACGATCGAAGACGAAGAGGGCGGGTATCCAGGGTTTGGGATATGCGTATTGAATGACACGTGAACAGATAAGAGCGAACAGTCTTACAATTGTTGTTGCTGTTGTTGTTATTGTTATTATTGTTGTTGTTGTTGTTATTGTTGTTGTTGAACTCTCATTCCTGAAGAATCATTATTGTTGATCCCCCTCTGGTGAACATTGTACTTTTTTAATTTGAAGTGCCCCTCCCAGCGCTCGCACCCTGTTCTTTACCAGGGAAGTTCTTGAAGATCAATCTGTACCCCTGGCCCCCGGGTTACAAAACAACGTCTCCCGCTTGAGACTTCCTCACAATTTAGCCAGGACCCCCGCTCCCGCCTGAGACTTCTTCCTCGCATTGTATTCAGGAATCGCGCTTTCGCTTGGCACTTACTTACAATCTATTCAGGAATCGCTCTCTCGGCGCTCTGGAATCGCGCTCTCGCTGGAGACTTGCTTGCAATTTATTCAAACATAGCGCCCTTGCATTACATACTCCCGCAATTTACTCAAGCGCCGCGCTCCCGACACTCAGGCGCCCAGGGATCGCGCTCACGCATAAGATTCCCTCGCTGATTACGCAGATTACTTCGGAATCGGGATGTCGCTGCCCTTCGTGGCCCCATCGCTGCCCTTCGTACCTCCGTTGCAGCCCTTCGTGGCCCCCTCGCTGCCCTTCGTGGCCCCGTTGCTGCCTTTCGTGGCCCCCTCGCTGGCCTTCGTGGCCCCACCATATATGTATGCCCTTTGTGGCCCCCGCTTGTTCGCGCCCGTCGTGGTCCCAAATGCATGCCCTTCGTGGCCCCGCTGTCGCCCTTTGTGGCCCACTCGCTGCCCTTCGTGGCCCCGTCCTGGCCGGCCCAATATACGTATGCCCTTCGTGGCCCCCGCTCGTTCGCGCCCGTCGTGGCCCCATGTGCATGCCCTTCGTGGCCCCGCTGTCGCCCTTCGTGGCCCCATCGCTGTCCTACTTGGCCCAGATGCTACCCTCAGTGGCCCCGTCGTTGCCTTCTGTGGCCCCGCATTATCTGCCCTTCGTGGCCCCCGCTTGTTCGCGCTCTTCGTGGCCCCATACGCATTCCCTTCGTGTCCCCGCTGTCGCCCTTCGTGGCCCACTTCGTGCCCTTCATGGCCCTGCTATCGTTCTCTCTCTCGCTCTCGCTTTCGCTCGTCGTCGTCGTCGTCGTCGTCGCCGTCGTCGTCGACGTCGTCGTCGTCGACGTCGTCGTCGTCGTGGTCGGTCCCCTGTCCGTCCCCCTTGGGGTCGGACTGCCGCCGATCAGCGCTGCCGCTAGCCAGGCCGACGGTCCGCGGCCGCCCCGCCGCTTGCCGGGGCCCGGCCTGCAGGGAGGAAAAGTATACCCCCCAAAAGGGGGCTCGATCGAAGAGGAAGAGCGCGGGTATCGAGGGTCTGGGAAATACGCGTCAACGGACACTCGAGCAGATAAGAGCGAATAATCTTAAAATGATTGTTGTTTTTGTTGCTGTTTGTTGTTTGTTGTTTGTTTTTTTGTTATCGTCGTCCCACCCGCGACCCACCCGCGACCCACCCGCGACCCACCCCGCGACCCACCCGCGACCCACCCGCGACCCACCCCGCGACCCACCCGCGACCCACCCCGCGACCCACCCGCGACCCACCCGCGACCCACCCAAGACCCACCCCGCAACCCACCGGCGACCCCCCCCGAGACCCCCCCCCCCCTCAGCGATCCACCCGCGACCCACCAACGACCCACCCGCGACCCACTTGCGACCCACCCCGCGACCCACCCGCGACCCACCCACCCGCGACCACCGCGACCCCGCGACCGCGACCCCGCGACCCACCCAAAATTTTCGGCGCCTGCGGCGGGTTTCTCTTGCATTCGTTCCAGGTCGTTGCAAGTGGAAAACTTGCGACCCACCCGCGACCCAAACCGCGTTCAATGTACAAATCAAAATTATCGGCGCCTGCGGCGGGCTGTTTTTGAACCCCTTCCAGGTGGAAGTGGAGAGCCCGCGACCCACCCGCGACCCGGGTTTCTCTTGCATCGGCAACCCACCTGCGACCCACCGGCGACCCCACCCGCGACCCACCCGCGACCCACCCTGAGACCCACCCGCGACCCACCCCGCGACCCACCCGCGACCCACCCGCGACCCACCCGCGACCCACCCGCGACCACCCCGAGACCCCCCGACCCACCCGCGACCCACCCGCGCGACCCCCCGCGACCCACCCGCGACCCACCGCGCGACACCGCGACCACCCGCGACCCACCGCGACCCACCCCGCGACCCACCCAAAATTTTCGGCGCCTGCGGCGGATTTCTTTTGCATTCGTTCCAAGTCGTTGCAGGTGGAAAACTTGCGACCCACCCGCGACCCAAACCGCGTTCAGTATACAAATCATTTCGGCGCCTGCGGCGGGCTGTTTTTGAATCCCTTCCAGGTGGAAGTGGAGAGCCCGCGACCCACCCGCGACCCAAACTACGTTCACTGAATAAGCCAAAACTTCAGCGCCTGCGGCGGGTTTCTTTTGCATCGGCAACCCATCTGCGACCCACCGGCGACCCACCCGGACCCACCCGCGACCCACCCGCGACCCACCCGCGACCCACCCGCGACCCACCCGCGACCTACCCGCGACCCACCCGCGACCCACCCGCGACCCACCCCGCGACCCACCCAAAATTTTTGGCGCCTGCGGCGGGCTTCTTTTGCATTCGTTCCAAGCTTCTTTTGCATTCGTGAGGGCCAAGAGGTCCGCCGGCTCGACTCCCGCGTCGCCCGCGCCCGCCCCCTCACTCTTATCCGCAATTGCGGGGTGCTATATATATTTTGCGTGGCAGGACGATGAGGGAGGAGGAGGAGGAGGAGGAGGAGGAGGAGGAGGAGGAGGAGGAGGAGGAGGAGGATGAGGATGAGGATGAGGATGAGGATGAGGATGAGGATGAGGAGGAGGAGGAGGAGGAGGAGGAGGAGGAGGAGGAGGAGGAGGTGGAGGGCCCCCCGGCCCCCGCGACCTCTGCCCAGCGCGGCCGCGAGGCCGCCGAGGCAGCCGTCCAAGCCCCCGCGGAGGGGCCAAGCTCCGCCGAGCCAGCCGCCGGCACCCCCACCGGCCATTCCAGTCCGCGGCGGCGCGGGTGGGCGCGGGGGTGGGGGCAGGGGGGGGGGGCGCAGCGCGGGGAGGCTTATTTGCTGGCTTGCAAGACCGTTGAAGCACGAAGCCTGCCGACGAGAGGTGGCGCTGCGACCGGCAGAGTGTCAGGGAAGCGACGAACCCTGCACGGGCACACAGGGAAGCTGAGTGCGGGGAGGACGGGGGGAGGAGGGGGACCCAGACGTCTGGCGGCTCGGACAAGATCGGGGCGGCTGGCTTTTCGCCACCTTGGGCCCTCGGAAGCTGGGGCTCGGGCCCCAGGGCCGTCAGCAAAGGGCTCTGGATGAGCAGCCGGCCGCATGGAGTCGGTCGAGAGGTCCGGGGGCCCCTGCCCCGAACTCGAGACGTGGGCCCCCGCACCCCTCGGCAGGGGCTCGATTTGTCGAGCTGCCGGGCGCCTGGGGAGGGCGGAGGAGGACTCGATTTGTCTTGGTTCGGGCTTGGGCAAGAAGCGAGCGGAGGAAGTGGGGGATTGAGGGTGGCTAATTGGACTCTCGTTTTTTTCTGCCACTCGCCGGCTCGTCATGCTGCCGCTGTTTCGCTTCATCTGTACATGCGATATTGAGCTTGAGTTGCGTGCTGTGAGTGGATCGGCGCGAGCCTGGTACAGCATGCGCGCACATCCGCATTCTGGCTCAAGACGCCTGGCTTGAGACTGGCGTGAGCATCGAGTCGGACTGAGGTTTGGGCTTGGGAAGAACGCATCTTGTGTCACTGAAGCCTACGTTTACCAAGCACCCGCGACCGTGGCACGGCAGAACCAGACGAAACGCGACCAACTTAGCGTGGCTGAAGGAAAGCATTCCCAATCAATTTCACCTGGGGCTGCCCTGGGTCATTCGTCGCTGTTAGGGAGCCCACAAAGGACGTACGCGCCAAGCTATGTACATGAACACGGCCTCTCGATCCGCGAGACCGGCCGCGTTATTTGAACATTTGCGCAATGCGTAGTCTCGAAACCAACGTGGATTCATGTACGTGTACGTCCTTCTGTCGCTCCTGAGCTGTGTCAGACAAGCCGACGTGAGCTAGGATGCGAGGATGGCGCCCCAAGAGAAGACCCGGAGCGGAGTCGGGCGAGGGGCCAGCCCCATGACGCAGGTCGGGGCAAAGGCCGCGACGAAGGGGGCCCGCGGTGGTCACTGCGTGGGACCTGGGGGAGACGCCGCAGGAGCGTCTCGCCCGCGCGAGAAGGAGGGTCGCCGCGGGGGCTGCGGAGCCGACCGAGAGACTACACCTTAGGCGATGCTTAAGAAAACTTACATTTTCGGCCAGAGCCTCGATTATTCTTAATGTTTCAATGTAAATCCTAAGATTTGAATGGAACTTTTGGGTTTTTATTCAAGTTCTGAGACTATGAATTTCTTAACCCATGATTTCTTAAGCATTTCGTAGGGTGTAGAGAGTGGAGGAGCGTCGTCCACCGACAGGGGCGGCGGGCGTTGCGAGCGGAACCAAAAGAGGGGGGCGTGGCGCGGGAGGCGCCGTCCCGGCTATGCTATGCCCCATCTCTCTCTCTCTCTCTCTCTCTCTCCCTGGTCCTCTCGACCTTGAGTCTATCGTGCCATCAGTCTCCGCGGTGAGCCTGGAGAGCCGACCTCACAATTTCTGCCTCGCCCTCTTGGCTGATCGGCTTCTGCCGCTGACCTCTCGACCTTGACGGTGCTGCGCGGCCTGCTTCCTTGGCCTGCCGGGCCTGCCACGTGTTCTGGCCCATCGGGCCCGACCTGTCGACCACCTGGTCCGACGCGGCCTCTAAGAACGCTCTGGGCCGGTCGGCCACGTTAAACACCTCTTCTGGGGCCGGCCCACCAGCGATCCCCCGTTGTGCCCGCCCCCCCCCCCCAGGGGCTCCAGCAAGCCCCGCTCCCCGGGTGGCGCCTATGGACGCCAGGATGGCATCCAGGCTCCTTCTCGAAGCCGCGACTCTCTCCATCGCTTCCTCCCAGCTACCAGCTCAAATCGCCGTCCAGCTTCCTTGCTGATTTTTCGATGGGCAGCCCACCCCGGGGACAACCTCCTGTGGTGTTGGGTCCTCGTTTTGAAGAGACAGCGCCCGCGTCCTCCTCCTCCTCCTCCTCCTCCTCCTCCTCCTCCTCCTCCCGCTGCCCTTCCTCCCTCCTCCCATCAGTGCCTCGGCCCTCCGCTCCGCATGTCGACCATTACGGTATACGACCCTCCCACGGTTCGTGGCCCTGCGGGGAGCTGCACCGGAGGCCCCAAGGAGGCCGCGGCCGCCTGCGCCCGCGCCGCCCAGTGCAGCGCTTCGTGGCCCCCTACTGGCCATCGCTTGGACGTCCATTCCCTGTGCTTTTTTCGGTTTCGTGCGTGGTTTTTTCGCCAAATGATCAAGGATGCTCCTCGATGGTCCTCGCCGAAGGAAAAACGCACACGTCCGAGCGATGCCAAGCCTGGGGAGCTCCACCGAGGGCCCCATTGGCCGCGGCCGCGTGCGCCTCCGCCACCGCTGCGGCACAGCCCTCGCGCGCTGCGTGGCCTCGTAGAGGGAGCTCCACGCCTGCGCCTCCCGAGAGCCTCGCCCTCGCCGCTGCTCCCGCTCTCAGCAATGGCCGCGAGCCCAGGCCGGATGCTCTGCCACGTCTGGCGGAATCATCGGGCCTGACGGCGTGGCCTCCCTCCTCCTCCTCCTCCTCCTCCTCCTCCTCCTCCTCCTCCTCCCTCCTCCTCCTCCTCCTCCCTCCTTCTCCCTCCTTCTCCTCCTCCTCCTCCTCCTCCTCCTGCACCTTTGCGGCTGGCAGTGTCTGCCAGGCAATTGCGCGAGCGGAGCCTGGGGCAGCCTGTGTCCCGTGCATGGGGTGATCGGGGGGGGGCGGCATCTTGCAGAGCCCAAGCCAAGGTGGTCGCGGAGCTGCCGCCTTGACGCAACCGCGGTGCACCGGGTCTGCGCTTCCAGGAGCCCCCCATGACGCGGTCAATCAAAGAAACCATGCCGAAATGTGCATGCGCAATGTGTGTGTGTGTGTGTGCTGCCGCAAGGCCATGTGTGAATATAGGTATTGCACCGTGGGCAACACATATGTCCGTCCCTCCCGTGTCGCTACCGCGTCGGCGCGGGTGCTGGAATGGGTGGTGGAGGGAAGGGGGCCTCCTTCGCGTGCCAGTGCGAACAAGGGTCGTTCGGCTCTGTCCGCCAAAACAACGCCGGCCCAGGCTGGAAGCGAAGAGAGGAGCAGCTGTTGCCAGGGGCTGGAATCGTCAGCTGTGCTGGGACGCACATGGACATACTAATACTATATGTCCTCCTTGGAGGCGCGCGTCCGACCCGAACATATAGTATACCCATCTTGTAGTATATCGTTTCCCGAGCGGTGTGGCCAGAAAGCGCCCGCCACGACGCATATACTATAAGATTTCTCGGTGCGCGCGTCGCCCCTGGGGGGGCGACGCACACATAGTATAAGTATGTTGGGGTGCTGCTGCTGTGATACTGTTTGTATGCCATAATGGCTCCCTGGGGCCAGCTGAGGTCCCCACCGACCTGACGTAGCCAAGAAGCCCTGCCCCCCTTCACAGTCGCGCGCGTCCTCGTGGCGTGCTGCGCTCGGCATGCCGCCGTGAAGAGACCCCGGGAGCGGGGGGGCCGAAGTGGAGCACCCACCCGACGAGGCGGATCGGGTGAATCTTTTGCTGCGCATCGAGGCATGCCCGCCGCGCATGTGCGAACATCTCCCAACCAAGGGCCGCCTGGTCGTTACGCTTTCGAGGGCCCGACACGTGAAAACCCTAGAGTTTCGGTACTTTTTGCTGGTGCTCGAAACACTTTCTGGTGGTCAAAACGAAAGTCGGTTGGAACATCATAACCCCCGCCCCTCCGTCGGACGCAAGGCACGCCAGGCGCGCCTGCACAAGCGAGGCAGCTGGCAGCGGAGGCCTCGAGAGGCGTCTGGGGCCTCTCGAGACCGTCTGTGGGGGTCTCTGGAAGTCCTCCCCTGACCTAAAACCTAAAAAACGGAACGGAACGCCCGAACACCAAGACGTATAATAGCTTTGGGATAAGTTTTTAGGTCGGGTGCTATTTTTTAGCCGTCCTGGAAGGTCAGGGTCCTGGAGCCCTCTGAGGCCGCCCCTGGGCCCTCTTGGGCCACCGTGTGCACGTCGTGGGCAATCCCGGGGCCTTGGAGCCCTCGCGGAGCCATCCAAGGCCGTCGGGAGCTGATCTAGGGAGCCTCTTGGGCCGTCGTGGACGCGGTATTTAGACAGAAAGTTGTATCCACGAAGCGCACATGGGGCCTCGTGAGAGCTCTTTTTGGGGCCGGTCTTGGAGCGACCCGGGGGCCTCCGCAGCAGTCTCCGAGCTTGTCGTGCTGCGATTGAATCCACTCGGGCCGCTTACTGGGCATCTTCAGCCGTCTGGGGGCACTGCTATGCCGCCGGGGGGGGGGGGGCATCTTGTGGTCGGTCTTCCGGTCCCGGGGTCCCGGTCCTCCATGCTGTGGTCTCGAGGCGCTGGCCTGGCCGTGGTCCCCCGTGCACTCAAGCTTTCTCCAACGTGTCCTTTTCATTCCAGCTCCCCCCCCTCCGCACTTTGATGGGGACACAACAAGAGATTTAGCGTTGACGAGTGTCGGCGATGGCCTCACAGAACAACACCCTCCCTATAGCCAGCGGGCGGCTGGACATCCCGCCCGGCAGCATCATGTTCACAGGAAAACAAACAGCGGATGTGATTGGATCCAGGAAGCTGAACAAATATGGGAAACCACAAAGGGAGAGCAACGACGGTGACGCGGGGATGAGGGGCGGGTGAGGCCGAGGAGTGAGGGGTGGCTCACGCCCAATACTGCGTCGCGCCCGCCGCCCGGGCGCCCGGAGAGCGGCAACCGTTGGGTGCGACATTTGGCAGCTTCGGCAGAATTTTACAGACGGCCCGTTCGGCGGCCTCGGGACTGTGTTGCCGCCGCCGCCCGGGCGACCGGAGAGCGGCAACCGTTGGGTGCGACGTGTGGCAGCTGTGGCAGATTTTCACAGACGGCGCGTTTGGCGGCCTCGGGCAACTTTGAACCCGCCTGGGCTGACTTGCGAAAAGTTCAATCCTCGTCTAGAAGCGACGTCCGCCTTCATCGCTGACGCCGCTTCGTTGGCTGCACGCTGAAGACCCATAAGTCGCCAAGGATCAGAAACAATCGCAGACGTCGGGCCAGGATCATCAGGAGCACGGGGATGAGGATTCTGACGTTGCTGCTGCTGGTGTTGCTGTGGATGATGATGATGATGATGATGCTGATGATGAAGATGATGATGATGATGATGATGATGATGATGATGATGATGATGATGATGATTCTGATGATTATGATGATGATGGTGCTGATGATGATGGTGTGCTGATGATTATGATGAGGGAGAGGAGGAGGAGGAGGAGGAGGAGGAGGCGGAGGAGGAGGAGGAGGAGGAGGACGAGGAGGAGGAGGAGAAGGAGGAGGAGGAGGAGGAGGAGGAGGAAGAGGAGGAGGAGGAGGAGGGATTCTGGGATTCTGCCGCGGCGACGCATGTCGGTGACTAGCGCCGTGCGGTGGACCAGGGAAGACAGCCTGGCAGCGGGGGTGCCTTCGGCACCAAAACTGTAGGGGCCACCTGCAGTGGGTGAATTAGAGCAGACGGCCCGCCAGTGTTATGACACAAGGAATGGCCCTGTGTCAGTCAGAGTCGGAAGAAACAGACGCGGGAAGGGGCCTGCTGTCAGGCTCCTGTCGGAGCTGCGCCGCCTCCGCGCTTGACACTGTCACATTCGCTCGCTGTTCGAGCGTGAAGGCATTGTTGGGCCTGGGAGGGGCGGGGCAACACGACGACGTCTCGACGGGACGACATTCACCCTCCACAGGCCCAGGTCGCACAGGCTCGGCGCCGCCTGCAGAGCTAGCACTTGGTCCTGGCGGGCCCCTGGAAACTCCAACGGGGCCAAACGAACCAACAGCAGAAACAACATCGCCGCCCCACGGTTCCAGGACAACCCCCGTTTTAGGGTGACGGCCTACCTATGCGTTGCGCCAGTACATTCGATGATTCTCAAGCGTGCTGGCTACCTGCGTTGGCCGTGTGCAGCTCGATCTCAGCTTGCGGCGCTGGCCATCAGGGATCACCCAGTATCCCGCACAGAGCTGACAAATGATAACTCGGCCATGCCGCTCTGGGCGATGACCTAGATTAGAAAAAGCGTTCAACCCTGAGCCCACAGCGGCACTAGTGGTAGAAAGGGGAGGAGGGTCCTCGGCCCGATGAGGAGCAAGGTCTCCAGACACCGCTGGGCTCTGCGCCGCGTAGGGCTGGGCACCAGGGTCGGCGGTGATCAAAAATGGCTGCGCGGCAGCGCTCTAATTCTCCACCGTAGCTATGTCTCGCGGCTCCGCTGACCACGGATCTGAGAGTCAACTCGCTCTTGGCCGCCACGTTGCGAAACTTGCATCTCCACTCCTGTCGCGAAGGGAGGTAATAGATTCCGTGAGAAATCAAAGTGAGACGGTCACTCTTCTCGGGCCTGGGGGGCATCTTTTCGGGCCTCTCAAAGGCTTTAGAGCACTCCCCAATTATCTGGGCGGCACGCGCCGAGAAGCTCCAGTTTTGCTTGCAGGCTTTCATTTGCCCCTCTCAACATCTACAGCCGCCTGTGCATACTGGTGGTCCTGGGCCCCCCCAGGCGCGCGAAACAAATCAGCCCAGTGGTTGCCTAAGTCGCAGGTGGCCTGTCCCTTCCCAAGCGCCATCACTCCCCTGATGTCTCTGTGAGCAGGGACCCACTCAAACGTTGGGGGAGCGCGGCCAGGCTCGCAGAGCTGAAGGATCTGCCTCCAGATGTCCGCATGCCTTGCCATGCCGCCCCCCAGCTGGCGACTCCAGGTATTACCCTCTCTAACGAACGTGAAATGGCCACTGTATATGGTGTCTACCTGGGGAGCTACTTTCATCGCCATCAGACCAGCATGCCTCTCCGCGCGGGGCGCCGACTGGCGCCCAGGGAGAGGCCCGTGCACCGCCCTCAAGGGCAGGCCCGGATCCAACATCTCCACCGCGGCCCATCCACGCCTGCGCAGTTCTGGGCTCGCATTCGCGAGGCCAGAGCCGTCGGTGTAGATCTGCCGATCCCAGGGGAGGCGCGTGCCCCCCTCCCCCCCCCAGTGGAACACCAGGCACTGCAAGGGCTGGGGCGCTGACTTCATAAGGTGATACGGCAGGCCGTACGCAAGCTCGAGCGTGTCCCACTCAGGCGCGCCCAGTCCATTGCCCCCAAGACCCCGCAAACCAGCCCTGCGCTCCAAGACCTCCTCAGGCATGGGTTCAACGGGGGGCTCACTAGGCGGCTGCAGGAGCCCTTCGCAGTCATAGAATTGGTGCCCAAGGGTGCCAGGCTCAAGAGAATCACAGAGCTCACATTGATCGCTTTCACAAGGTCCAAGGGCATTCTTACGCGCAGGGGGCCACAGGGCGGAACCAATCAAACGTCTGGCGCAGCCTCTATGCATTGGATCTTTCAGGCTCGAAATGGCGTGGCGGAGCGCTCTCCTCCAGATGCCATTCGGGTTGCCTGCTATCGGTTGCATGTGAGACGCGTTACGTCGCATCTGCCACTGTCCAATGCTGTGTCGAAGTAGCAGCTTCAGCTCCCGCGGCGATGTCTGCAGTAAACTGATCGATGCCCCTTGATCGTCTTGTAGATTATGGGCCGATGTCATCGTCCAGTCCACTCGGCGCAGGGAAAGCGCCACTGCTGACAACGGGCTGATGCATGTGGCCCAGGAGAAGTCACCATCCCATGCTGTCATCGTGGCAGTCCAAGCTCTCTGCAGAAATCCCAGGGACACCTGTGATTCCCATATAGCCGCTGCGTATCTGCATACGGACTCTGTAGCGACGTCAAAAACAATCTCATTCCATTCATCTTATTGCGTCGCCAACCGAGCTGCGATACTAGCATGGGCTTTGGCCCCCACGAGGGCTCCAGCAAGGTGGCGAAGCTGGGCCAAGGTGGATGGCACTACGCCGCTGGCTCCAGCACCATGTGCAGCTGCAGGGAGAAGCCCCGTTCGCCACAACGTGTGTACCTGGCCTCGCCCACGTTGTAGTGCCTGAGACCGTCCACGTCGAGCCATGATGCCAAGTTGTCGTCGTCGTTCCTGTATGCGCCGTAATCGAACTCCAGCCAGCTCATGTCCCAGGTTGCTCATGTGCTTGTGGCATTTGAAATTCGTCATCCTACTCAGCTTCTTCGCGACTTTGGTAGCTGGCTTAGTACTTGCCACGCAACCACTCTCGTCCGCTTGTATAATGAGCCCGAAAGGCTGCACTCGTCGTATAAACCATCGCACCGGATGAAAGAGCGCCACTTGTCGCCTGGGATCATCCCCAATCCATTGGAAACCAACGTCATCCAGGAGAGCACGCGGGACCACCTCTTCGTATCTTGCTTCCAAGTCTTCTAGCAGCCTGTGTAAGATAAGATGAACCATTGCGCGCGCATGCGAACAGCCAGCCATAATGCCTGGGGTGGAGACAACGGGGAATGATAGAGAGCCGTATGCTCGTACAAGACGTGGTGCCTGATATACTTGTATGAGTAGCCAGAGCGAGCGCAACGGGAACTGCAACTGTCTAGCATGACTGACCAACGCCGAACACCGAATGGTTTCAAAGCACATGTACATGTCAATGAGCGCACTGACTGAATGCATGCCAGTGTGCTTTGCCGTCTCCACCGCAAGATTGCGCTGAAATGTCGCGTCCGTAGAAGTGGCCCGTGGTCGAGATCGCCAGAAAAACGGCGATGGGTTGGCCAACTCCCACCGCTTAGAAATCGGTCTCCGTACTCGGCTTCAGATTCTGACAACCGTGTTGATTAATGCTAATATGTGCCCTCCTGTCGGCTTAGGTAACCGTACCATGGTAGTAGTGACGCGTTGTGTAGGCCAACAGCCCAGTGTCTCACATCTCATGAATCGTTGGCCCAGCGTGTCCAAGCCTATGTCAGAAACCTGCTGCAATGCTCGCGGCTGAATCTGAACCTGACCCAATGCTGTCGTGGCCTTGAACCGCCGTATGGTACGCCGTATCTCCAACCCCGTGATTGTGGGTAGTCCATCCCAGTGGTCGTAGCCCACTGGTCGTTCCAAGGCCATATCACCGTGCAAAAACCAGATTCCACTCCCGAATTCCAAGCAGTCGTCTGCCATTTGGTAGGGCTGTCCACGTGATCCCGCATATTGTAATGTCTTTTGCAGCTGCCGCACCTTTGTGTATCTGCGTGCCTTGCCAGCCCCATTCTGGAAAAAAACTTGCTTGGCCCATTGGGCCCACTCAATTCCAGCGGACTTATTAATGGCATCCACCACCTTGGTGACCTTCTCAATGGCCCGATCGAACACCTCAAGGAAACTCGGTTGGTAGAAGAGGTCGGAACGCTGCAAGGGCAATTGCGGGCCCTCGCTGTCCAGCAGAGGCGGCGCCCATGTAGTGCGCCCAAGCCCAGCAAAGGAACCTTGGAGGTCCCAATCAAGTCTGGCAAGCAATATGCGCTCACCCGCTGGTTTATCATGCAATACATACTGTCCGTAGTTGCCATCTATGTCAGGTAACAATCTCGCAAGGTATCGCGCTCGTGTCCCGCAGCCCGTTCCATGGCCAGAGGCATTCGCGTATATGTGGGTCGCAGGTGTCGGCGCCACCACAAATAGCTTGTGCGCTTGTAGTCGTTGGGGCTGTGGCGGGGAAATTGCAGCAACCTGCTGCCACTCCCGCTGGTCGGGTCCAGCACGTCCTTGAGTGCGTCGGCGAATCTTCGGATCCATGACGTCGTTGCGGCCCAACATCTCCTTCTCGATGGTAGTCATGACGCCGTCCCGAGCGCGGGCAAGGGTAGGTCCATCGCTGGCTGCGCTGAGAAGACTCTGCACCCGTCGCCATTGTGTGGCGGGTGGGAACCGAACACATCCCACGACTGGCACCGTAGGTGGCTTCTTGGGCACCGTCGGGGCGCGGGCCCACTGAGCGCGCGCCTGAAGCTGAAACCCCAACCTAACGGGCTGATGCGGGGGGGCAGCTGTTGCGCAAACCGAACATTCACCTAGCCATTGCGCCAGAGAAGCTGAAACACAAGTATAGTCCCGCACCGTCCCAGGCTGCACCGCATCGCAGGTAGGTTGCAGGGGCGCCTTCTGCAGCCCGTGGATGGAGTGCATCCATCCCGATATATGCGTGGGGTCCATATTCCAGTCCCCATGTAATTATCCACTTGTGGCCTGAATAATTGAGCTGCTCCACGTGGGTTGCAATCTGCGTGAGTATCTCCATGTTCTCCTCATTGGGTCCAACATATTCTACCACGTATTGTGTAAAGTATATTGTAAGGATGGCCACCCCTCCTCGAGGCCCCCAAGACGCGTGCCCAACTGTAACGCGTCCAGGCACAACCGTGGGAGAGGAGAGATGTGGGCCCAGTCCAACGCGTATATGCTTTGGAGCCACAATTGCGCAACCGCCCGTGGTGCCACCTCGCCCAGTAGAGATGGCCGCCGTCCAAACCCCCTGTCGCCCAAATTGCCGTGCTTTGTGCTGAAGCTCTGGTATCCTCTGTTCGCCACCGTGATGTTCCTGTAAGCAAGTAATGGCGCCACGACGTTGAGGCAGCGAGAGCACGTCCTTCATGGCACCGTATGGGGTACTGTTAGAGGTCAGCACACTGTTGACGGTGACGGTAGCGCCAGTTGTCTGCATTGTCAGCAGAAGCAGAATGACCATGAATTGGATCCGGTATCCAAGACACAGGACGCATGGCTGACCTCTCCGACCCTCTGTTACAGGATCGGCCTCATGTCCTGCAGCGTGCTCGAGCACGAAGTCGTTGCAGGTCGACGTCGGCGTGTGAGGAGGTCGAGGTCAGGGGTGCTGGGGCCCGTAGACTCTCGAGGCGCGAACCTTGGGGAAGGTCGAACGGCTTTAAAGCCCGCGTCCGCGCGGCTACCAAGAGAGCCCGTCAACGGCAGTTGACCTGACATCCTCAAGGCGCACACTATGCCAGAGGCGGTGGGGTAGAGGAGGACGCTGCACGTCCACGTAGCCCAGTTAGATAGCATTCGGAACCATGACCTGGCCTCAATTGATGATATATCTGTTATCCGTGATCCACACCTCCACGAGATGTCCAGTGTAAAATTAGAAAAGTACATGCGGCTATCGTTGTAGAGCCAGGTATGTCAACTTCCAGCGAAAGGCAATCCGTGATCAAACTTAGTCATGTCGGTCCCAGGCTTCCATGCGGTAAGTGACGCGCCGCTGCGCGCCTGTCGAAAGTGGTGCTTCGTGAACGTTACCGTATAGAAACTCAGCCAAACGGCGACGTGATACACCTGCAGGCGCACATGCGGCAAGCTAAGCTTAGGCGGCCCTGCAAGCAAGTGCACGCCATATGTTATGCCAGGAACTTCAGGCGGCCGGCCCTGTGCACTGCTTCTTGGCATGCAAGGCCTCCGCTGCGTTGGCCATGCGCTTGATGGCCTCCCTGACCTGCTCTTCCTCCTGCGGCGGGTCCTGGCCAGTCGCCGTGCGCAGGAAGTCGCGCAGCTCGGTGATGTCGTCAGTGTCCATGGGGGCGGCGCGATCCTGAGCTGCTTGTTGCTGGCCTGGCGTCGGCATCCCTGGTCGGGTCCCACTGCTGGCTGGTGCCGCGCCTCGAGCGGGCTCGGCTTCCTCGGCAGACGACCCCTCCTTCTCAGCAGCGTCAGCCTTGTCAACCAGGGCTCGCAGCTGGTCGAAACAGGCCGACACGGACTTGGACAGCTCGTCGTCGGCTCCCAAGCCTTGCAGCATCTGGCCCAGTTTCTCGACGGAAAGGCCCATCGCGGGGACGAGCGTGCGCAGCGAGCAGTCTCCAGGATCTGCCGTGGGCGCCTTGGCTGAGACCTTCCAGCGCAACGCCTCCAGCTCCTGGGTGTCAGCCCACAGCTCGCTGATCTGGGCCTCCGCCTCCGCGATCTTGGCATCCAACTGCACTCGTTGCTCACTGTAACCATCCAACACTTTCTGGCGCTGAGCCTTGGCCTGCGACAAGGTGTTGATGCGTGTCGTATAGTGATGGAGCTGTCCAGCATGCGGCTTGGCCTCCACGATCTTGGTCTTGATGGCGTCGCGCTCCTTGCAGAGCGCGTCCCTCACCGCCGCGATGGCAGGGTCGGTGGAGCTACCGACAGTGCGCAAAAAAGCCCGCGATCTCGGACAGCCTCTCATGGTCAGCATCTGCTGGTGGTGGATCCTCTCTGGGAAGAACTGGACCACTTGCCGCCTTGATCTGCTCACGCAGCTTGGCGATCTCGCGGTGCTTCTCGGAAAGGGCGTCCGCGGCCGCAGCGCCTGCACGGCGGCGCGCTGCAGCGGCCTCTGGCGAGCGTTGGCTCGGCGGCCCATCCAGCGGCTTATGCCCACCGAAACTGGCACCCTTGGCGACGCTGCAGCTGGTGCAAGCCTGGCAATCGCCTCGGTTCCACCACTTGGCGCCCGTGCGTTGATGTGTGCACCACCTGCATAGCCATGGCGCCGCCCACGCCTTGCGCTCCCCACCTTGGGCCGAGGGCTTGCCCGCGGCTGCGGCACGAGAAGGCGGGCCATTTGCCATGGAAACGTCAGCACGAACTTGCTCCACCAGGTGCTCACAGGATGCTGCGCCGCCTGACGGCTCACGCAGCGGTGCGTTGAAAGAACAGAGGTCTAGCCGCGGACTAACGGTTTTCACTTGTTACACAGGGGAACTCAAAACCTTGAGCCAAAATGGCTACGGTGGGGAGGAGGAGGAGGAGGAGGAGGAGGAGGAGGAGGAGGAGGAGGAGGAGGAGGAGGAGGAGGAGGAAGAGGAGGAGGAGGAGGCACAACGTGCGGGAACGTCCACGTCAGACCAATGGCAACTACCGATGCCGCTGCCTCCTCGGGATCCGCATGGCCAGAGCTATCGCCTGTACCTGTCCACGGGCTTCCCTGGGCGTGAGGGCGCGGGACGCAGAGCGGGCAAGGGGCGCAAGCAGGCGGTACCCATCGAAAAAACCGACGCAACACCGGAGATCCTCCCCCACAAGGCCGAGACGACGCAGCCGATCCGCTGGCGGAGTCTGGTGGGCGGCACGGGCGACCAATTCAGACAGCGGCTGGCATGAACAGATCGTGGCGCAGATTTCCTGGACAATCGTACCCGAGGAGGCACTGCGCATGTCGTTGCATACGAGTTTTTGTCGTCCATCCCCCAAGCCATGTCTTCAAGGCTTCAAGGAGGAGGAGAAGGAGGAGGAGGAGGAGGAGGAGGAGGAGGAGGAGGAGGGGGAGGAGGAGGAGGAGGAGGAGGAGGAGGAGGAGGAGGAGGAGGAGGAGGAGGAGGAGGAGGAGGAAAAATAATGGGTCGCCGACGGCGGCGGGTATGCAGGAACAGGGAGCATAATGACCCGGAACGAGCATAGCGTCTGCATGGACTCGCGTCCGTAGGTGCTCACCGTGCTGTTGCCATGGGCTGGGTCTGGCGCGAGGGCGGCAACCGGTGGCGCTGACAAGAGAGGGCTGCTGACAACTTGGCTGCGTCGAAGGGCGTCGCTCGACATGAACGCAGAAAGCCACGGGCAGGTGAACCCTAACGTGTGTCAGCGCGCACGTCCCCGCACGACGGCTCCCCCCCAACACCTGCAGCGCAACTTCCGGCCGACGCCCGTCCCCGCAGCTGCCCCCCACCCCTGCCCGCCGGCGGTCGTCGGCAGGACGGCGACGCCCCGAGACTTAAGTCGGGCCTGTCCCTCTACAGGAGGTAGATCCCAAAATAGTCAAGAAATAATCAGGGGGCGATTTTTCGACCACAATTGGCCATGTTTCCCCATGCAGAGCCTGCCTCTGTAGGGGTACTGGCGGATTCATACTGTTAGGTGAGCTACGTCGCCGATTTCGGTGGCCGGGGGTGCCTGGGTGCCCGGGTGCCCGGGGGTGCCCGGGTGCCTGGGGGTGCCCGGGTGCCCGGTAGCCCTATAGCCATATAGCCTTATAGCCTTATAGCCCTAAAGCCCTATAAACTCATAGCCCTATAGCCCTATAGCCCAATAGCCCAATAGCCCAATAGCCCTATAGCCTTATAGCCCTGTAGCCTTATAGCCCTATAGCCCCATAGCCTTCTAGCCCTAAAACAGATCTGATTGGGCTTTTCCTCCAGTCTCATCGAGAATGTTTCGAATATCTTTCACTTTTCGTTCGGAATCCGCCTGTAGGAGGACATGCCCGATCTAACCCGAGACCGCAGAGGGTGGCCTGCCTCGCCCTGGAGGCACGCGCGCGCGCGTTCCCCGCGCCGCGCCGTTCACCCGGGCCCGTTGCTCGCGATGACTTAGGATCCCTGCGCTCAGGGCTTCGGACCCTGCTCCACAGAGACGGCGCGCCTCGTTCCAATGGAAAAGCGCGCTCCACTACTCGCAAAGTCTCTACTCGCAAATGGCCTGGACCCGCCGCGGTGGATTTACGACACATTCCAAAAAGCCACGTTTTCTTCGGACGCTTGCCAGCAGGCACTTTGCGAGCAATGGAACGCGCTCGGTGATACGGGCTGCCACGCGAGGCGAATCACTGCTCGACACGAGCGTGCTGGAGCCCGCGACCTGCACCGCGGCTGCAGGCCATGCTTACACGCCCTTCGCACCGCGGCCCTCCCCGAGCTCCTCGCCGTCGTGGCCCCGGCGTTCTCCGCGCCTCCTCCCGGTCGCCCTGCCCGCGGGTGCTGTGGCGAAGCCGGAGGCCCTGTCGGGGCGGCTGTCCAGTGGCCTGCCGCAGGGTCGTTCTCGGCATCTTTACCGCGCTCCGCATGGCGGACTTGCCTCAATGCCCGAAGCCCCTACGCCTCGCAAATTCCACGTCGTTCTACCTCTTTATCGTCCGCCCCTCCACCTGGGTTCCGTACACTGTCTTAGACCGCCCTCAGCCTGCGAACTTCGGTCACGAACTGCGCTCACTTGCTCCGTCCGGGTCACGCGTCAATTGAGACAGAGAGAACACCAAGTGTAAACAGATGTGGGCTGAAACTTGGTTTGGAGATGCGATGAGGAGGTATACGAAATTGTAAACGAGGCGGGCGATTGAGTTGGATATGACCACGTACGCAATGCAAAACGCGCGCCGTATGTGGGAACTTCGCTCTGTGCATCGAGGTACGTTTTCGGATTGGCATATATGAAGGGGCCCTGGGACACAAATAATTATCCCAGTGCGACCCTACCTAGGAGTTGGAGCCTCTATGAAAGCAACATTAGTAGGAGCGATAAACGCCGTCCTCCTCCTTCTCCTCATCGTCGTAGCTGTAGCAGTAGCAGTAGCAGTAGCGGTAGTAGTAGTAGTAGTAGTAGTAGTAGAAGTCGTAGTAGTAGTAGTAGTAGTAGTAGTAGTAGTAGTAGTAGTAGTAGTAGTAGTAGTAGTAGTAGTAGTAGTAGTAGTAGTAGTAGTAGTAGTAGTAGTAGTAGTAGTAGTAGTAGTAGTAGTAGTAGTAGTAGTAGTAGTAGTAGTAGTAGTAGTAGTTGTAGTAGTAGTAGTAGTCGTCGTAGTAGTAGTAGTAGTAGTAGTAGTAGTCGTAGTAGTAGTAGTAGTAGTAGTCGTAGTCGTAGTCGTAGTAGTAGTCGTAGTAGTCGTAGTAGTAGTAGTAGTAGTAGTAGTAGTAGTGTAGTCGTAGTAGTAGTAGTAGTAGTAGTAGTAGTAGTCGTAGTAGTAGTAGTAGTAGTAGTAGTAGTAGTAGTAGTAGTAGTAGTAGTAGTAGTAGTAGTAGTAGTATTAGTCGTAGTAGTAGTAGTAGTAGTAGTAGTCGTAGTAGTAGTAGTAGTAGTAGTAGTAGTAGTAGTAGTAGTAGCAGTAGTAGTAGTAGTAGTAGTCGTAGTAGCAATAGTGGATGCTGTGCTGCGCTATGCTATGCTATGCTCTGCTCTGCTCTGCTCTGCTATGCTTTGCTCTGCTATGCTATGCTGCGCAATGCTATGCTGGGCTAGGCTAGGCTAGGCTATGCTATGCTGCGCTATGCTATGCTGCGCTATGCTATGCTATGCTATGCTTTTGATTTAGTTTCGCTTTTGCCTTCACTTTTGCCTTTGCTTTTGCTTTTGCTTGTCACCAAAGGCACGCAACTGGGGAAGCCGCGCGTTTGCTTTCACCTTTGCTGTTGCTTTTGCTGGGCTCCCAGGGGACCGGGGGAACCGCCCGGGGCGGGGTGCACTGCCCAGCCCCTTTAAGCTAACAGAATAAGAACCCTTCTAGGCAGAGCCTGGGTAGGGAAATACACACAAATAAAAGGATCCCCCATCTTTTACCATATTTTCATGGTTTTTGTCTTCCCCCCCACTTCCCATATTTTCCTATATTTTCTGGGGAATCGACGTTTAATTGTGTCTGTGTGTTTTTTCTCCTCCTGAATATGGGGGTCTTCGCTGGCCAGCGCCCCATTCACCGATCGCCAGCCCTCTCCGGGCCTACGCTCGAATGGAAGAGCCACTCGGCACAGGGGGGCTGCCGTGGGAGAGGGGCCCGAAGCCACGCGCACCTCGCCGAGCATGGATGGGGACGCACGCAAGTCTGGGCCGATACGCACCCTGCTGGCAGCCGTACCTAGGCGGAAAACAAACCTACCTCGCTTTAGACCACCCTCGCTTCCAAGAGATACCAAACGATGCCAAATTGCAGCCTGTACTGGTCAGGCCGCTTGACGGGGAGGCGCGTGGTATGGCTTGGTTTTGCCTGGAAGCGAAAGCGGGGTAGGTAATTCACGCTCTGAGTACCGGGAATACTGCGCAGGCGTAAGCGTGCCAAGAGCTGCGCTGTGTGATTGGTTGCCGGCGACGCTCTGAGCACAGATCGCTGCGATGCTCCGCCGAAGGAATGCGCGCGACAGGCAGACTAATGCAATCCAGATTCCCCGTCCTCCCTCAGCAATCGGGGTAACAGCTGACAACGAGAGCCTGCTCGACGCGGTGCCGTACCTGTGCAAATGAAGGTTGTGATGAGACTGGGTTTGGAATTTGCGATCGGAACTCTACAGTAATATAGTTTTGCGGATCGCCGCCACGCTCGTCTGGTTGCTCCAACGTGCACGCACGATCCTCAACACAACTTCCGTACACCGCGAAGGACTGCGAGAAAACAAATCCACCAAGCGCGCCGCGCCACAACTACCGTCACAAAACAAGCCCCCTGGCAGGACTCACAACAAATGCCACCGATCAACGAATGCCTACTTGACATAGCAGCGCTTTCACCCAGACTAAGAAGAGCCTACCCCCAAATTATTTCTCTTCCCCGCGCCCCGCATTTGCGGGCCCACGCGATCTGTGTGTGAACCCTGGGAAAAACTGTTGCGCAATGGCCTGGCAAAGAGAAAGACGAACAAGAACGTAACGCAACTGCTGGTCGAACTCACCAAATGCGTGGTGCCAACGCTTGCTGTCCCTACTGTCCCGTCCAGAACTTCAGCGAAACTTTTCCCCAATCGGCAGAGCGATTATCGAAGCACAGCTCGGCTGGCGTGGGGCCCAACTTGGAA